TTGTGTCTGCCTCCTGAATGAATAGCGCTGTAGTTATTTTCTTGGACGCTATAGAGAAAGTGAATAGTGTCGTGCAAAGTTGTGATTCAAGATACTTTGCTTTCTGTTGTACCGCGAAAAGAATAATCCTCTCCAATGTCCCACCTTTTATTAAGGATGAGTTGCTAGTAGCAGAGTTGTCTTGCGGCATGGCAAGATCATGTCGCAAATGAAAAAATACCACTCGGTTGTAAGTCTCCATTGCTTAAACATGTTGTTTGTTTTAGACGGCAAGTGTATATGGTTTTAAACAAAGCCGAGGATGAAATGAATGTGGCATTCAAATTTCGAATTGACGGATTTGATTATGTAATTTTTGCATCTTCTGATACAATGAAGTGCTTTGAGTGTGGTAAGGAAGGTCACACCAAGCGAGCGTGCCCTGGGAGGGTTGAGGGTACAGAGGCTGGTGTGTCGACAAATGAAAATGCCAGTAGTAGTAATGTGGAGCAGACTAGCGTTGTTAATGTTACGATGAATGTGCGAAAGCAGAGTGGGGATGGTGAAAGCAGTAAGAGTGTTGATGTTAGAAGGGTTGAGGGTGAGGATATGGAGGTTGTTTCAGGAGTCATAGAAAATGAGGATGAAAGTGAAATTAATGTGACTGCTGATACTGTTATAGCTGTAGCTGAATGTATTTTGGCTGAGGAGAATAAAAATACTGAGTTTGAAAAGGATGAGGCTTTGTTTAAAGCTCCTCCCAGTAAGAGAAAACATGTTAGGAAATCCCTAAGAAAAAAAGTGATGAAATGGTGATGGATAAACAAGCTGGCAAGAGTGATGAGACTGAACATAGTACAATGGATGACTCTGATAGTGAAGCTGTAGATGATAACAATGAGAGGGGTCAACAAAGCTATTCTTTTGCGAAAGTGAGAAGTTTCTTACAAAAGACAAAGAATATGAAGAATGTCCAGGTTGTAAATTATTTTCAAGACTGAAAAGCATTCATTGAATCAGTCGTGATGTTGATGAGGGGAGAAGGTGCAGAACAATTCACAGTACAGGAGATATATAGACTGAAGAAATTTGTTTCTAAAGTGAAGTTGGATTTAAAGAATGAAGATGGATTTGAAACTACATAGGTTTCTTTTTCTTAAGTTACTGTGTGCTTTTATATGTTGTTTAAAACTATGTAATCAAATGAGTGCAATAAAAGTGGGCACCCTTAATTTGAATGGTGCCAGAGATATTCAAAAAAGAGCACTATTATTTGAGTTAATTACTCAGAAAAATATTGATGTAACATTTATACAGGAAACACACAGTGATTGTTTGAATGAAATTGACTGGAGGAAAGAATGGAAAGGGGAAGTGTACTTTCCATAAAAGTGAGTTCCGTAAAAGGCGGAGTGGCCATTCTTTTTGCGAAAAGTTTTTTGCCAATTTCATGTGAAATAAAGCAAATGGTACCTGGTAGGTTATTAGTTTTACAAGCAAAATTTAAAAAATGTAATTAGTTTTTTTTTTATCTATATGCTCCTACAAACAGTAATGAAAGAATTGCCTTCCTTAAAACTGTCAGTGTTTTTTTACAAAATTGTAATCCAGATGATTATATTTTTGTGGGGGGAGGGATTTTAACTGCACGGAAAATGATGCTCTTGATAGGAACCATTTGATTGAACCATACACGACTTGAAGCTCATACTGCTTCAAGTCGTGTAATACGTGAATTGATTGAAACCCACAGTTTGTGTGATGTGTGGAGAGAATTGAACAATAACAATAGGCAGTATACATGGGCACACTCCAGAGATA